TGTCAACTGGTGTCAACTGGTGTCAACTGGCATCGGTTGAAGTCAGCTGGTGCCGAGTGGCCTCGGCGGGGGGGAGCCGAAGCCGACCGGTGCCCGTCCCGTCCCCGCAGGTCCCTCCCGAGGTGGGTACGAGGCCCCGGCGGTGCCGCCGTCCCCGCGCCGGTCGCCGGTGGCCCCGCGGAGGAGGGTTGGTTCCGGGGGTGACCGTGGGTGTTTCCCGCCCGGCGCCGGCAGCACGTGGGGCAGTCGGGGGTGCACCTGAAGCGGGAGTTCTTCCTGGCCCACGCGTCGCGCGCGCGCTCCGAGCAGTTCATCAACCTGCGCGAGGTGAGCACGCGGCTGCGGCTCCCGCCCGGCGAGTACATCGTGGTGCCCTCCACCTTCGAGCCCAACCGCGAGGGGGACTTCGTGCTCCGCTTCTTCTCCGAGAAGAAGGCCGGCACTGAGTGAGCCTGACCCTGAGCCTGACCCTAAACCCTGACCCTGAGCCTGACCCTAAACCCTGAGCCTGACCCTAAGCCTGACCCTAAACCCTGACCCTGACCCTGACCCTAAACCCTGAGCCTGACCCTAAACCCTGAGCCTGGCCCTGGCCCTAAACCCTGACCCTGAGCCTGAGCCTGACCCTGACCCTAAACCCTGACCCTGACCCTAAACCCTGACCCTGAGCCTAAACCCTGACCCTGACCCTGACCCTAAACCCTGACCCTGACCCTGAGCCTGACCCTAAATCCTGACCCTGAGCCTGACCCTAAATCCTGACCCTGAGCCTGACCCTAAACCCTGACCCTGGCCCTAAACCCTGACCCTGACCCTGACCCTAACCCTGACCGTCACCCTAAGCCTGACCCTAACCCTGACCCTAAGCCTGACCCTGACCCTTCCCCCCCCTTCTGTCCGCAGGGAGATGGACGACAAGATCCAGGCCACGCTCCCGGACGAGGTGGGTGGAGGTGACTGCGGGGGGTGACCCCGGGAGGTGACCCTGAGAGATGACCCTGGGAGGTGACCCCAGGAGGTGACCCCAGAGGGTGACCCTGGGAGGTGACCCCGGGAGGTGACCCCAGGGGGTGACACCGGGAGGTGACCCTGGGAGGTGACCCCGGGAGGTGACCCCGGGAGGTGATCTCAGGGGATGACCCTGGGAGGTGACCCTGGGAGGTGACCCCGAGAGGTGACCCCGGGAGGTGACCCCAGGGGCTGACCCCGGGAGGTGACCCCGGGAGGTGACCCCAGGAGGTGACCCCAGAGGGTGACCCTGGAAGGTGACCCCGGGAGGTGACCCCAGGGGCTGACCCCGGGAGGTGACCCCAGGGGGTGACACCGGGAGGTGACCCCGGGAGGTGACCCCAGGAGGTGACCCCAGGGGGTGACCCTGGGAGGTGACCCCAGGAGGTGACCCCAGGGGGTGACCCCGGGAGGTGACCCCGGGAGGTGACCCTGGGGGGTGACCCCGGGAGGTGACCCCAGGGGCTGACCCCGGGAGGTGACCCTGGGAGGTGACCCCGGGAGGTGACCCCGAGAGGTGACCCGGGGAGGTGACCTCAGGGGATGACCCTGGGAGGTGACCCCGGGAGGTGACCTCAGGGGCTGACCCCGGGAGGTGATCCCAGGGGGTGACCCAAACCGGCCGCTTTTCCCCCCAGAAAGTGCTCTCGGAGAGCGAGATCGATGAGAACTTCAAGCAGCTCTTCAAGCAGCTGGCGGGGCCGGTAAGGGCGGGGCAGGGCCGGTAAGGGCGGGGCCGGTAAGGGCGGGGCCGGTAAGGGCTGGGGTGGGGGCAGCGGTGGTCAGTGATGCCGGCGGTGGTCAGTGATGGTGATGGTCAGTGATGCCGGTGGTTGGCCGTGCCCTCGGTGGTCAGCAATGATGTCATTTTCTGATGACATCATTGCTGACATCACGGCCTACAATGATGTCATTGCTCGGCGACGCTGCAGGTCGTTTGTGACGTCACGGTGATGACGTCNACCCTGACCCTGACCCTAAACCCTGGGCCTGACCCTGGCCCTAAATCCTGACCCTGACCCTGACCCTGAGCCTGAGCCTGCCCCTAAACCCTGACCCTAAACCCTGACCCTGGCCCTAAATCCTGACCCTGACCCTGAGCCTGACCCTAAACTCTGACCCTGAGCCTGACCCTGACCCTAAACACTGACCCTAAACCCTGACCCTGACCCTGACCCTGACCCTAAACCCTGACCCTGACCCTGACCCTGAGCCTGACCCTGAGCCCGACCCTAACGCCAAGCCTGAGTTCGTGCTTCGCTTCTTCTTGGAGGAGGAAGCTGGCACTGAGTAACCCTGACCCTAACCTTGACCCTAGTCCTAACCCTGACCCTAAAGCCTGACCCTAATGCTAGCCCTGACCTTAACCTTGACCCTGATCGTAACCCCTGACTTTAATTGTAATCCTAACCTGATCCTAAACCCTAATCCTGACCTTAACCATGACCCTAAACCCTGACCCTAATCCTAACCCTGATCCTAAATCCTGACCCTAATCCTGGTTCAATCCTAAACCCTAATCCTAAACCTGACCCTAATCTATTTCCTAACCCAGTCCTAAACCGTAGCCCTGACCCCTAACCCTGACCCCAAGCCTGACCCTCACCCTAACCCTGACCCTAACCCTGACCCTAAACCTGACCCTGACCCTTCCCCCCCCTTCTGTCCGCAGGGAGATGGACGACAAGATCCAGGCCACGCTCCCGGACGAGGTGGGCGGGGGGTGACCCCGGGGGGTGACCCTGGGAGGTGACCCCGGGGGGTGACCCCAGGGGGTGACCCCGGGAGGTGACCCCGGGAGGTGACTCCAAGGGGTGACCCTGGGAGGTGACCCCAGGGGGTGACCCCGAGAGGTGACCCCGGGAGGTGATCTCAGGGGATGACCCTGGGAGGTGACCCCGGGGGGTGACACTGGGAGGTGATCCTGGGAGGTGACCCCGGGAGGTGACCCCAGGGGGTGACACTGGGAGGTGACCCCGGGAGGTGACCCCGGGGGGTGACACTGGGAGGTGATCCTGGGAGGTGACCCCGGGAGGTGACCCCAGGGGGTGACACTGGGAGGTGACCCCGGGAGGTGACCCCAGGGGCTGGCCCCGGTAGGTGACCCCGGGAGGTGACCCCAGGGGGTG